GTGAAGGAGTTAAACCAAAGGATTGTGGAAAGTAAACAGAAAAGCTATTACATTTGCTCATTGCTCAGCGGTTCTGTTTGTGCAACGTTTGTCACCTCAAGCCCTTTTCACGTCAAAATCTATCAAACAGGAATGTGTGTGTTTTAAAATACAGCACCACATCTTATTTTTATCTGCTCGATTTAATGTATGTGTCCTTTATTTAACCAGGAAAACAACTCGTTGAGATTAAAAACCTCTTTTCCGAGAGTGACCTGGACAAGACAGCAACATAAAACATACAAGACCAAATACACAAAATAAGAGAAATCACATAAGGGCAGTTAACAATCCTTTGGTTTGCCAAAAATCATCATTCTGAGGTAACATCTGTTTTATGAAAGACACTTTACTGTATTTTTTGGACTATAAGACGCACTTAAAATCCTTTAGTTGTCTCAAAAATCGACAGTGAGCCTTATAATCAGGTGCGCCTTATGTATTAATTCTGGTTGTGCTTGTTCAAACTGATTTTATGTGGTTATTGTGAACGTGTTGACTTATATGACTGTTTTGTTTCACGTAATGCACCTCATAATCCGATGCGCCTTTCAAATGAAAACAGGTCCATTCATTGATATTGTGCCTTATAATCCAGTGCACCTTATAGTCCGAAAATTACGGTAATTCAAAAGCTGTAATGTCATATCATGCAGAGACGTTATGAAAATACTTCCTTTCCAGTCAGAAATGAAACAAATGAAGCAAATCCTTCTTCAGTTTTCTGGGAGAGGCCTTAAAAAGCAGGTTTTTCAAAGACTGGTTTTAAGATGTTCATGTTTTTTTGTTTTTTTAACAGCTCGTCTTGGCTCAGAATATTTAAGACTCGATTTATGAAACTTTCTTTTCATCCTGGAATCCCAGGAAAATCTCTAGGATGTAAAGTTTTGTGCAAAAAGTGGAAGTGAGTAAAAACTTTGCCGTCATGCATCGTTTTGTCTCCTGATAACAGCGCCTGCTCTGTTTCTGTTGTCTTTGTGTAAAACTGATGGACATCTGTGACAACTTTCCAGATGAGGTTAAGATCTCCTGACGTGTCAGCTCCGTTTGTTTCCGTGGCTCTCTGTGACGTTTCAACCAGATTATTGAGCATGCATCATGCATGCAGCTGTAAAAATCCAGCTGAGCCAACGCTCACAGAGCTCTTATGCACAAATATCTTTCTGTGGGGTGATTTTTTTTTATTGCATTTTATTCTCCAACTTATATACATTTAACACTCTGTCACTTAAGACTGAAACTAACTGAACTGCTGTTCAAAAAGCTCACTTTTTAAACGCTCCCGGTACGTTCTTGCCTAATTTCAGCTATTTCTGTCTAACTTCTGATGCTCAGCCCGTGCCACCAAATTCTCTGTTGATGAAACGTGAGTTATGAGACGTGTTCAACGTCTTCATGAATTTATACTCACTCCTGAGCGGAAGAGATATTTGATACATATGCAATATGTGAATAAATCCAACAAAGCAGGTGTTTACGGCAGGACACCTGTTAAAAAGAGCTATAAAAGCTTTATTGTTCATACACCAACGTTCATGCTCAGTAATCCAGGTATAAAATCCAACAATGTTCAGTCAGGTCATGTGGATGGTTTCTTTTTTTGTGCTGTGACGTTTCACCCTCCATCCAGAAGGCTTCATCAGCCTGAGGAACATTGTTGGATTTTATACCTGGATTATTCAGAATGGACTTTGGAGTTTTGGACCAGTTTGACACGACTGTCGACGATGGAGAGGGCATCCCCAGAGGCCATCTTAGCACCAACACAACTGTTTTTTTCCCACTTTGGTGTAGGATGCTGGGGGAGAAACAGGTTTTTTTTGTGTTTTCTCAGACTGATGAAGCCTTCTGGATGGAGGGCGAAACGTCTCAGCACAAAAAAAGAAACCGTCCAGATGACCTGACTGAACATTGTTGGATTTATTGTTCATAATTTCACCTGAAGCAAATCATGATGTGACACCATATGGATCTTGGTGAATTTTGTGATTGATTAGTATTTGCTCGATTATGTTGATTGTTAAAAAGGCAACACATGCTTTGTTATAAACCTACAAAGTAGGCCTAATTATTATTCCTATTCTAAGACCTGGACAAACTCCTTTATTTTTCTAATAAACTGAAGAATCATATTCAACCAAGGTAATGATTATATTTTCAGATTAAACTTCACTTATAATAAAGTGCAAAATATAAAAGTGAGAAATCAGATAAATAAATTGAAGCCTTTTTGTGTACATTTTATTGCCATCCTTTTTAATTTAAATTAAATTTGCACTTTTTTTTGTCCATATTTATTGTTAAGTAGCTTAAAAATAAAAACTCAGCACACACCAGCACTTATCCTTTAAGATGTTTGCATTTGGCAACATTATGTGCAATGTCTAAGACAAAACCAATCCCAAGACAGAGTTTCTGTTCTCCTGAGAGCCCTTGAAGGTCCCATCCAATAATAATAATAAAAAAAAAGTAGGATGGATTTTATTTAAGGAAAGTCCCTGAACACACGAACAGAAAATATATTTATTTTTACTTGTTTCTTTGAGCTAAAACTCAATTTAATCTTCATATAAAAAGTTTTATTTCTTGCTCTTAGTTTTAAACAGCGGGTTTCTTACATTTCTCAGACAAAACCTTCGTCTTTAGTTAAATTTTTTATTTTCTTTCATCAACACCTTCATCTTTATAGTTTATTTTTTCATCAAAACCTTCATATTTACTTTATTATTATTATTATTTTTCATCAAAACCTTCATCTTTGAATGGTTAGTTACGAGATTAAATGCGTTTCTCTTCTGCCCTCTAGTGGCTGAATCTGTATTTGCAGCAGGAGCTTAAAACCCAGTGCAGATGTGGAACTGTAGCACATTTCTTTTAGGAATAGAACTTTGAACATCTGTACATGCAAATATGTTTAATTCACATGCAAATAATGCAAAATATCTCAATATCTACAGTTTTAAAGAATTACTGAAACTAATACACTTTGATTTCTAATATATCGTTGTCAGCAGCAGGCTTTTCACTGCCACAGTTAATGTTTTTAAACAAAAACAAACAAAAAAAAGTTAAATTATTCTGGTATAAATAAATGTACTTTATTTTGATTGTATAGCTTATGTGTATTTACTGAACGATCGATTGATGATAAAATAAATCAAGTTACAAAGATGAAAGCTCTTTTTTTTCTTGAGTTATTGATGAAAAGTTGCAGCTTGTCCTTTAATTCTCTTTGACCCGGTGTCATTGTTCTCATTTAGACCTAAATCTCCACAGGAAGGAAGGAGGACAGCAAGTGAAAGAGAAAATTTATATTCAGGGCAGAAAGAGGAGGATAAAGAACTGAAGAAAGAGAGAAAGAAAAAGTTTGTGAGGGTGAATAAAACGGAGGTAAGTCCACCAATAGCTGCACTTGCAGCTAAAAGTACAAACTGACCTCTTACACACACACACAGACACACACACACACTAGTTTTTTTTTACCCCATCATGCATAAAGGATGTGGTTAACAGCTGATTCTCACCGTGTGGTCACATGTGCATGAGAAAATGTGAGAATTCATCTGAAGTGCGTGTAAAAAAAGCAACAAAAAAACAACACACTACCAGTAATGTTGACGTACAATAAAAAAAAAAATGCAAATAAAAACAGTGACCCTGTTAAAGAAACAGTTTGTGTTCAAACGATGAGGCCGAACAGCAACTAAGTGAAGCTGCGGAGATCAAAAACAATCTTTAATCAGATTCATATTCATCACCTTCAGCTTTATAAATGCGTCAGTTTTAGCTTTAATCTCTAACAAAACTAGTGCTGTGTTCTCGTTCAAGACAAAATAAATGTGCGGACGAAGCTGTTTGTGTTCAAGTCATTAATTCTTTATGCTTGCGTTGTAATGCAGCAGCAGCAGAAACAGGCTGTAGCTGTTCCTGTTCAACATTATCACCGTGTTGGAGCATGAACATCTGCCTGAGCAGAGCTCCTGCCCTGACTCCTTACTTTGAGTAAGCACCGAGTTTAAGCACCAGCTGGAAGCAAAAGACTCAAAACACGAGTTGAACTTGCAGCACTTTGGTGACTTTTGCACATTTAGTGCCTGAACTCCTTAAAAACTGTAAACTCATAAAACTTTGCGCTTGACTTGTGTCCCGTTCAGTTTATTGCACATGCAGTAAAATAGCTTTTCTCACAACTGCATCTTAATTTGTCTGTGTAAGACGCGCTTCTGCTTTTTCCGAGTGATTCCTGCAGACAACGGAACATGTTGAGTCACTTCCTGTCACGCAGCTTCAGCAGCGTTTTTTGACTGATGGGGGGAAGTGTGAAGTTGTCAGTCTTTTTTCTCGCTTGATTTATCTCAGGTCTTCCATGTAGTTTCCCCTCACAGCACCAAGCTGAATGGTTCTTTCGCAGTGAAGGGAAACCCACACAAACCCAATGAAATTACTACAAAACGGTGGAAAAAAGACACACCAGTGTGCACTGCTGGTTAAATGACTGTCCAAGGTGGAGAACAACTAGAAGCAGGCCTTTCCTGCACTTTGAACCGTGCAGTGTGACAGGAACTCTCCACACATTTGACTAGTGGTCCTCATCTGCTCCCTTCTTTCAATGAAATAACGCTTTGTCACCCTCTCCTGAGGCACAGTGAGGACTTGTATTCACCTCACGGTTGTCCCTCTTTATGTGCTGGAGCTCAACAGGACGCTCCGTACAGATGCTCTTGGACTCAACGAACGCCGGTCACAGAAAGTGTGAATAGGGGGCTCTGTGGGTCTCCTTAAAAAAAAAAAAAAAGGGTGTTTTGTGTGTCCATTTGTGTGCAAGAGCGGAAGTGCGTGTGCGTTTGGTTTCTGCAGGGCCTGGCTTGTTAGAGCTGTGCACGTGGAACGACCAAACGTGTGCTTTGTGAATGTTTGGTGCACGCTTTAACTGTGTGGATGTCCTGCAAACGCACGTAAACAAACACACACGCAACAGGTCGGTTCACGCTCTTCAATGCAACGTCTTCAAATGAAGCTGACTGTGAACGGGGATCGGTTTTAGCATCGTTTCACAGATTAAAGTGGGACACGACAGGGATGCAGGAGCGAGGGAGAGAGGGACACCGAGGGAAAGTAGAAAACCGAGAGAGGGAGGCCTTTTATAAAAAGCCAAGTCCTGGCACTTTGTGAAGTAATTGCAGGCGGCGTGATCGCGGGCTTTGGGTCCGAAACGGGATCCTGATGAGCCAATGAGTGCCCCCATAATTCCCCTCAATGGTGTACAGTATCAAGGGGCGCAAGCTGCTGCAGAATTACAGTCCTGTGAGCATGACAACAAAAGAAGACATGGAGAGCAAAGACTGAGGCTCCTGAATCCTCTCTGCAGCGTCAATTACATCAGTCTGCTCTGAAAAGGTAAGGAAGCTCATTTATTCACACAGAGCTACGCAAATGCAGACATGAACTAAGATAAGGGCAAGAAATCAAACAAATCTCTTAAAACAAGTAAAAAAATCAGAGAATGCAGCGTTTGGTAAGTTTATAAATTGGCATAACTTAGCATATCTATACATGCTTTGATGTTTTTTTTTTAAATCTCATGAATTCTGCTGCTTCATTTAGTGATTTCATCTGTTTTGTTGCAAATCCTTGCACGCCTGCAGTTTACTACTCACTAAGACAAGTAGTAATGAGTTTTTAAATGCAAGTAATTGAAAACTTTCACATTTTTTGTGAGTTGCAGAAAAAGTGACGCAAAAACGTGACGATAACTGACGCGTAAATGGGCGATAAAATCGGAACGAAAAGCTGTTTTTCCCTCATTAAGGCCAAAGTATTCAAACTTTATGCTTCAGCTTCACGGCTACTTTGTAACCTGTGCCAAGTCTGAAAAGTTCCTCCAACTGAAGCTCAGACAGGTGGAGTTTGCAGCTGAGATTCAGGAGATTCACGTGAACCTGTAGCAGAAGCAGACATCAAACTGGATGCACACGTTGAATTAAAAAAACATCCAGAAGCACAAAAAAATGAAGCTAATGTTTAAATAAAACAGTGATGCTGAGTTTTTCTTCGAAATAGGAGAAAAGTGTCTGAACGCACAGCACATTTGCTAAAGTTTATAACTTGCTTTGTGCCCTGAAGTATTGATTTATTTTACCACCTGTATGCAGAAAGGGATTATTGTCTTCTATAAGTTCAGATTTTAGTAAGAAAATGCAAAATTATTGCGCATTTAAACAATTCATCCTTCGTGACTGCATGTGTGGAATTTTATGAATTGAATCTGATTCAGTGCGTTTGTTTTCAATGAGCTGCAACCGAAATGAAAATCTAAATGTTTATGTTTTGTTTATCTTCATCAATAATAATAAAATAATTCATACAAGGAAGACAGAAAAAAACAAACAAATTAAAAGTTGAAGCATTTTTAAACGTCTTCTGAAGTTTTTTTTATGCAGATGAAAGGAATTCATTTCAATTAATTGGAGGTTGGAAAAAAAAACTGGAGGGGTGACAAAAAAGTTGCGTCTGTGCGTGCGCGTGCGCGTGTTCAAAGAGGAGAGGATGCGAGAAAGAGGGAGATTACTCGTCACTCCAGAATACAAATGAGGCCTTTTGTCGCAATCTTTTATTCCTTCCTTCTCCCTTTCACTCATCTCCCCCCCCCCCCCCACACACACACACACACACTCTTTCCTCCTCCTTCTCCATCCTAAATGAAACTTGGGTGTCTTGCTCAGAGGCATCACGGCATGTAGGCATGGTGGGGAGTTGAACCTGTGACTTTCTGGTCCAAAGTTGGCCGCCCATACCTCTTCACCATCTCGGCCCCCTGTTGCACAATTGCAGCCCCCCCCTCTTCACGTAATCACACACATTTGTACACACATGGATGGAAACAGAGTCGTTTCTGTGAATGCATCTTTTGTTTCTTTTATCTCGGCTCCCAACAAAGCATTCCTGTGTACACAGAGGAGGGAGGGAAGGAAGGAGGGAGGAAGAGGAGAGGAAGAGGGAGGGAGATCAGAAAAACACCCAGAGCTTCCCTTGTCAGGCAGAAATAAAACTTTTGATTCTGTTCTTGGAACTGAGGATACAGTAAAGTGATGTTGTTGCCATGGAGACCGAATACATCCTGCTGGGGAGGTTGGTGAAAATACTTCCCTCACTTATCTCTCATTTACTCCCATTAACGTCACTGGTTATCTGATACGTGGCTGAGGTGGATGTTTTTTTCTCCTTCTCGAGGACACGTGAGCGTCGCTGCGTGTTCAAGTTAAAAAACGGGCGAGGGTGACTCAGAGTTGAAAGAGTGAAGCTCTCAATGGTGTCATTGTAATTATGAAGCTCACTATTGCATAATCACAGCGGTGTGATGTAATTAAATGTGACTGGTTACATAAGCCACGTCAGTGTTTTGATTTAACTTCCAAAAGTAATTCAACCTACCTGATTTGGTTATTTTGTCCTGTTTGTCATTTTATACCTGAGTACAAGTATTATGTCCATTATAATTGCTTGGTTAAAAAAAAAAAAAAAAAAGAATAAAGGTGGACTACAAGCTAAACCAAAATAGTACAAACTGGTATTTACTTAGTACAGTATGTACCTGGTACTAATATAAATGTACCAAGCATAACACCTGCAGCAGAGCCTAGTATACTGAATACGTACATAGCATTTGTGAGGAGCAGCTTCATTGTGTAGTGACTTTTGACCTCATACTTAAAAAGTATATGCCTTGTATTTACCTGGCGCATACCTGATATTTATGTGGTATAAGGATTACTTTCCTGCTACACATCTGATACTAATGAGCTCCAGGCGGATACTTGTGGGGACAAGGCTGTATTATGCAGTGATTTCTGCAATACTTGCCTATACTTGATACTTATCTAGTACTTACCAGGTAACACATGGTACCAATGAGCGCCTGGCGGTAGGTATTATGCTTTGACGAGTGTTTGTATCTGGCACTTTCTGGGTACTTTCCAAGTACTTGGCTGAATTATATATTTCTATCAAATTTACAGAATTGTGAATTCAAACATGAAAAACAACGATGTCAGAAATCAGTTGCGCAAGAAACATTTTGATGTTTTTAATTAAAATAAATCAGTGTAAAAACACACGATGTTCCCACTCCCTGTCACGGAGCTTTGAATCCCTCAGTTTGATCATTAATGCAGAAGAATCAGCGTTTCAGCAAATTCAGGTCAATTTATAAATGTACCCTGCTGTAATTTACTGCTGCCAGCAGACTACTGGCAGTGAGGGCTTTTATTATAGTTTCATATACAGAGTAAATATGCAAAGGTTGTGAGGCGACCAAACATAAAAAATAAAAATATAAACATATAACACAAAGCCAATTTAAAGTTTTTTTTTTTCTGCAAGTTACGATCTTCAGTTAAGATTTGAACAACTTTGTGAACTCTTTAAAGGTGAGAAAAAGCACATTTTAAAAGAGTTAACAAAATCACTGACAAGAAAGCTATTTGTAGAACGTAACACCCCCCAATATTTACTATATTTGTGATCGGAAGGTTGCCGGTTCGACTCCCTGGACTGACAACATCAAAGTGTGGGTGAGAAAGGTGAAGCACCCTCATTTCCCCCACTCTGGGCCCTTGAGCAAGGCCCTTAACCCCCACCATTTGCTCCCCAGTTCGCCCTAGAAAGCAGCTCTCTGCTCCACACAGAGGGCTGTGGTTGCATCAGGACGGACATCTGGCATAAAAACTACCAAAGTCACATTTTCACCATGTTAGTCATACATTTATAAATGTCATAGTTCCAAACTAAATATTTAATTTACAAGCTAAATATTTAGTTTACTAACTTTAAATTTAACTTGCAAGTTAAATATTTAGTTAGTAAACTAAATATTTAGGTGTAAATTAAATATTTAATTTCCAAACAAAATATTTAATTTCCAAACTAAATATTTAATTTCTAAGCTAAACATTTAATTTCTAAGCTAAGCATTTGATTTCTAAGCTAAGCATTTAATAACTAATTCAAATATTTAATTTGCGAACTAAATATTTACCTTGCAAGTTAAATATTTAGGTGAGAGTTAAATATTTAGTTAGCAAATTAAATATTTATCTAGGAAATTAAATGTTTAGCTTAGAAATTATCCATCCATCCATCCATTTTCTTCCGCTTATCCGGGGTCGGGTCGCGGGGGTAGCAGCCTAAGTAGGGAGGCCCAGACTTCCCTCTCCCCAGCCACTTGGGCCAGCTCTTCCGGGGGAATCCCGAGGCGTTCCCAGGCCAGCCGAGAAACATAGTCCCTCCAGTGTGTCCTGGGTCTTCCTCTGGGCCTCCTTCCGGTGGGACGTGTCCGGAACACCTCACCAGGGAGGCGTCCAGGAGGCATCCTAAACAGATGCCCAAGCCACCTCAACTGGCTCCTCTCGACGTGGAGAAGCAGCAGCTCTACTCCGAGTCCCTCCCGGATGATCGAGCTTCTCACCCTGTCTCTAAGGGAGAGCCCAGACACCCTGCGGAGATAACTCATTTCGGCCGCTTGTATCCGAGATCTCATTCTTTCGGTCACAACCCAAAGCTCGTGACCATAGATGAGGGTGGGAACGTAGATCGATCGGTAAATTGAGAGCTTCGCCTTTTGACTCAGCTCTCTCTTCACCACGACAGACCTGTACAGCGCCCGCTTCACTGCAGACGCTGCACCTATCCGCCTATCGATCTCACGCTCCATTTTTCCCTCATTCGTGAACAAGACCCCAAGATACTTGAACTCCTTCACTTGGGGTAGGACCTCCTCCCTGACCCGGAGAGGGCACTCTACCCTTTTCCGGCTCAAGACCATGGCCTCGGATTTGGAGGGACTGATCTTCATCCCGGCCGCATCGCATTCGGCTGCGAACCGCTCCAGCGAAAGCTGTAGATCACGATCTGATGAAGCCAATAAGACCACATCATCTGCAAAAAGCAGAGATGCAATCCTAAGGCCACCAAAACGGATCCCCTCAACACCTTGGCTGCGCCTAGAAATTCTGTCCATAAAAGTTATGAACAGAATCGGTGACAAAGGACAACCTTGGCGGAGTCCAACTCTCACCGGGAACAAGCCCGACTTACTGCCGGCGATGCGGACCAGGCTCTGACACCGGTCATACAGAGACCTAACAGCCCGTATCAAAGGGCCCGGTACCCCATACTCCCAGAGTACCCTCCACAGGGCCCCCCGAGGGACGCGGTCGAACGCCTTCTCCAAGTCCACAAAGCACATATAGACTGGTTGGGCAAACTCCCACGCACCCTCCAGGACCCTGCTGAGAGTGTAGAGCTGGTCCAGTGTTCCACGGCTAGGACGAAAACCGCACTGTTCCTCCTGAATCCGAGGTTCGACTATCCGACGGACCCTCCTCTCCAGAACCCCCGAA